ATCAAAGATGGCCAAATAACGGCTGTTTTAATTTTTGACCATATTACTACTACACAGAACACATGTTTTGATGTAAATAAACAATCTGTTGTATACGCCACTTGGAACTCAAGTTTCAAGAACACGCTCGCGACAGCCCCTCCGCTTTAATATGACGAGCACAAAGAGAACTTTCAAACATTTAACGGGGACTGTCACATTTTCAATGACTTGTATTCTTTGATCCCGAATTTGATAAATCTCTCCCTACTCTGTCATATTTCAGATCCAAGACAATGATGAAAAAAGTTAAAGAATATGGTGTATCTCGTGGAATTGATTTCCAGAATGTTTCAAATGTTCTTAACTTTGATTTTCCACCAACGGTTGATGCCTACATTCATAGAGTTGGAAGGTACTGATGTTGAATTATTCTCTGCATTTCATGATTTATTATTGACATTATGTGGTAGAATTCATATGATAGTTCCTCAGCTAGTTCTCACTTTCATCTATGAGGGCGCAACAGGAATGATAGATATATAGAAGATAATATTTGGTAATCGTAGTCCTAAATAACTATTAAAAATAGCTAGATGTTTCGAGCAATGGCTCTTTATTGATAGCATAGAAGAAAGTGTAGAATTTTTCAAACTATAGAATTAATATTGTAGAATTATTATTGTGTAATTATTATTATTATTCTGAATTATTTTCGTCACTTAAACACATTACTATAAAACCATTTATTTTCACTGACATTTAATTTCACTATTTTGATGTTTTGAGCAATTTCACTGTGTTTTAGTTTCATGAATTTTATTGTTTTACATGTTCACGTGGATTTAATTTAGCAAAGTTTATACATCAGTAAAAATAGTGAAATTCAATAGTAGTAGTGTGATATTTATATTTTTAACAGGAATGATAGTTCCTCAGCTCGTTCTCTCTTTCACCTATAAGGGTGCAAAATATTACAGATGCTGCCACTGAGGGCGTCAAACGTGATATATTCTCTACTTTTCTAACTTTTGTAGTTAAGAGCACCACATTGGACATGGTAATGTTGTGTTATGTTTATTTTGTTATAATTTATGTAAACAACTAAGACATGATCTGTTTCATCTGTAGGACTGCTAGAGGTTTTAAGATGGGCACTGCTCTCTCATTTGTTAATTACAGTGAAATTCACTTGCTACAACAAGCAGAAATGATTCTGTCAGGAGGTTGGTCCAACTTCATGTCTCTAAAAACACATAATTTCGTTGTTTACTGTGATATTTATATCTTACATCAATGGGTAAGACTTGGTCTACAATAAACATTTAAACATAAATATAGACTGATGTAATTAAAGGATGTCTTGCCATAATCTGTAAGCAATAGTATCCCATGATTCACTGGTGTAATCCCAGGGATTGACTTATTTCCTTTTAAGGAGGTTTGAGTTGAATTGAAGATTACATGTTGCTTTTTTCATCTTGCCAGATTGGTGCGTTATGGATTTCTAAATTGAAAAAAAATTTTGCTCAGTCATATGGGACGAAAAAATAATGTATAAATTTTGAATTTGTCTCGCAAATTTGAATAATCATCATTACTCATAAGATAAATTTGTCATTGATTCTAGGCATCACTTAAACACATTACTGTAAAACCATTTATTCAACTGACATTTAATTTCACTATTTTGATGTTTTGAGCATATTCACTGTGTTTTAGTTTCATGAAATTGTCAAGGAAACAATGAATTTTATTATTTTACATGTTCACGTAGATTTAATTTAGCAAAGTTTATTCATCAGTAAAAATAGTGAAATTTAAACGCAGTGAATAATTAATACATTTACAGTAGCAAGACATAAGAAACAATTAACTCTTTCGGTATGTAAATTAGTCTTGACGTGGGCATTTTTCGGGGGGGAGGGGCTAAAGTTGGGGTTGGAAAATTAGATTCTTGGCTATGTTTGATTTAGACAAGGTTGAATGTTTCATTTCATTTGTCAGTGGTCTATTGGGAGGCGCTATTGAAATCATCTCAACCATTGCTTGAGTAGTTTTGGCTTTCACTGAATTTACTACACTACAGTTTAGCTTATTGTATTCCTATGAAAACAACATTTTACAGCAACAACATTGTATTTCAGTGGTTTGAGATAGGTATTTTCACCCTCTGAACACTTGAGTCAAAATACATAAAAATGTTTAAATTCAGTGTTGCACCACATTTTGGTGTGAAAAATTATGATATAGTCAACTTTGCTAAAATATATTCTCAGATCTTGAAAAAACAAGTAAGATAAAGTGAAAAACAATTTTTTTTTAAATAAAATCTTTGCAAATTTAAATGTACCGGTACTACCTGTATTTAATTTAGGCCCTGATTTGAATAAAGTCTGAGATTGTGGAATATTAATTTTGGTTTCATTTGTCTGTCTGTCTTGAGCAACATGACCAATCACATTCAAACTTAAGGCAAAAATCAAATATGACAACTTTCTTATGGATTTTCAGTAGCATTTGATTAAATATGGCTGACTGGTTGCCGTCTGTCCGGACACATGTCGATTTCATATCATAGATATAATAATAACAAGCATTGACAATGAACAGATGCCAAATTCCATCACTAGCAGCAATCAAGAAGTGTTGGTGTACATTTGGCTAAATAGTGGTGTGGCAATGTACTGTAATAGGCTTAGCATTAAAAAAATATAATGTGCGACCAAAACCCAGTTTGTAGAATCATTGTACCGAGTTTTGAACAGTAACATGATGTGCATCTGTAATCCAGTATGTATTATCCTGTTCATTTGTGAGAAATGATTACTGACACATTCACAGATTGCGATTTTAGAATTTTAGTCAAAATGATTGTCACTTCAACAAATTTGATCAAGTCACACAAAACAATACAATCTATATTACCTACGAGTATCATACTTACGTGTAAACTTTCACCTGAGTCAGGCAATATATTAGTGAGGAATACACATGGACAAATACACAAAAACAAAATGGTGGCCAGTCGGCCATTTTAGTTTGAATCTTGTGACGAAAAATATTATGTGCACCTGTAACCCAATATGCATGATCATGATACAAAGTTTGAATGAAGTCACCCTGTTCATCTCGGCATGCCCATGAATAAAATCAAAATGGCCACAAGTTGGCCATTTTTGTTCAACTATTTTGCACAAAGTCATAAAATCAGTCTTCAAACATGTCCCAAAAAAAGGACTAGGTGATTACAATCAAAATTTGTATTATGATCATGAGATTTCAACAACAATGGCCAACTGGCAGCCATTTAGTTATTTTATTGTATCCATGTCAGTTACTCTTGAAAACAGTCCCATGTTGACACACATGTGATGAATGTTAGACGTAGATGTATATCTACATGTACATATAACTTGTGCTAAACATTGAGATAGACTACCAGTAATTTCAACTCAGAACAGTACATATTTATTTTCTGTTCTTCTTTCTATCCTACAGATGATGAAGTACCTGCTGTTAAACCGTACCAGTTTAAAATGGAAGAAATCGAGGGATTTAGGTACAGAGCAAAGGTGAGAATTCCAACAAAATGATGTAATATTTCTTCACAATTTTTATTCTCACCTACTCTCTACAGTGAATTTGATTGTAATGATTATCAGATGAAAAGTTTATTGACTCTCTTTCAACGTGAAAGACACTGAAGATTTTTTTTTATGTCTTGGTAGGAATGACATTAAACACAAATCCCAACTTTACAGTCACAATCCACAAAATTCCAGAACATACACAAAACAAAACAAAGAAACACCTTGGGTGCATTCACAAGCATACCAGGTATTTTTTTAGTCCCCGTTCGGACACAGTCCGAAAACGGGGACTTATGTTTTGACCTCCGTGTGTCTGTGCGTGTGTGCATCCGGACCTGTATCTTAGAAATGCCTGGACCAATCACAATCAAACTTCACACACACATCATACATGATACATATGCACGTCAATTTGTTTCACTATCTGATTCAAGATGGCCGAATGGCGGCCATTTTTGTGCTAAAAAATCCTAAAAATCAAGCATTTCTCGGCTGTTTACAGATGGATTTTGTTCAAACTTGGTATATACATTAGACATTATGGGACCTTGATGCAAATAATTTTGTTTTTTCAGATAAGATTCAAAATGGCCAACTGGCGGCAATTTTGTTTTAATGTGGTTCTTGTGCCATATCTCTGACTTGCTTTCACTGATTATGTTAAAATTTTGAATATTCATTATACATCATGTCATAGATAGACAGATATATTGGTTTGACGATCCTATTTAAAATGGCCGAATGGTGGTCATTTTTGTGCTAAAAAAATCACCAAATATCAAGGATTTCTGGCATTTATGGATGGATTTTGTTCAAACTTGGTACATATATTAGACATTACGGGTTCCTGATGCACGTCATTTTATTTTTCAGATTGGATTTAAAATGGCTGACTGACGGCCATTTTGCTTTAATGATTGGGGTTCTAGACCTTTGACTGATTATATTCAAATTTTATATATTCGTTGTACATACATGTATTCAAAATGGCTGATTTTGAATGCTGTTCCAGAGCAATATCTCTCAATATGAACAAGTACTTGTTTGACGATCAGATACAAATTTCAATCATTTTAATAATAAAAAAATCATATTCCTGACATGGTTATATTCCAGCTATATTACTATAAACAAAACTATATATCTTAAATTTGATAACTAACGGGGACTGTGCCATGCATGGCTTGGCTTGTCTATCGAACAATTCGTTTTTTTTACAGGCGACAACTTTCTGACTTAACACAAATGGCGGAAATATTCAAAAACATTTTGTGCTACTGATTGCACCACTGTGTATTGGTTGTTATATCAATTGTTACTGGCATGTGTTTATCGACCCGTAATGTGTTTACTCCATTCAATAGGATGCCATGAGAGCGGTTACCAAGGTAGCTGTAAAGGAAGCCAGACTACAAGAAATCAAAAATGAAATTATGAACTCTCAGAAGTTGAAAACATACTTTGAAGACAATCCACGAGATCTGCAATTGCTTCGGCATGACAAAGTGCTGCACCCGGCAAAAGTTCAATCACATTTGAGACACGTTCCAGATTATTTAGGTGATTATAAATATAGTAACATTTTGACAAGTCGTGGTTTGGGATAGAAACAAAATGGCTGCCAATGCTGCCTAACATTTTGCAACAGTTTATGCTCAAATAATTGCTTAGTGGATTTATGGAAATTGAAATGTAAGTATTTGAACGTTTTGTTTATGTTGATTGCTGAATCTTTTGCAGCGTCTTTAACATATAATATCACACATTTTATTTATTCTTTAAATTGCAGTACCGGATACATTAAAACAATTGATGCCTAAAAAGTACCACAAGGCAAAAAGGAGAAGAAATGTTCCTGTTGAAATGCACAGCAAGAAGAAACAAAATGCGCTGAAAGCAGTGGTATGTGATTGTGTTACAGCGGGAGGGTTGTCACCTGCACATGCGCGGGAATTGAATCCCAAGCGACGATAACAACACGTGCTAAAAATGCAAAGGCTCATGCGTAGACGTTTGTTTGTAAACAATGACACACTATGGCCATCTGACGCATGCACAGGTGACGACTCCCTAGCTTTAATGTAGTTTGAAAAAGGGATTACACCACTTATCATAATGGCAGTTATTCTTGAGATTTCTGACGAAATGCTAGAAATAATTTTCAATGTTTGAGGTTGCATAACTGTTCTCATAGAAGATTTCATTTTCATAAAATAAACCTGCATAATTTCACAGGTTTTCCCCCAAAAATGGTCGATACATATAACAATGGGAAATTTTGACCATTTCGTTCAAAATTATTTAAAAAATTTATAAAAATTGGCGAAAATATTACACCCAAATTTTTAGCGGGAAAATTTGTGGTCGTTTAAAAAATGTTGACGATGATAAGGTTATTTTGATTAATGCATGTGTTCTGCTTCTCATTTTACAGAAAAGAAAACAAGAAGATCCTCTGAAGAGTTTTAAATTCAAAAAGTCTAAATAGTAATTTTGATTTACGATCACCTCAAAATAGAATAAAATTCCTCCGTATTTGGTATACAAGTACTTCCTTGTCCTTATGTATGTGTTACCATGGCTACAAGACATTCGCGTCACCAGACCTCAGAAGATTTTTTTTTCATCCTTACTATTTTCGAACATGTCTACTGATAATACCATTGTAAGACTGGTTATTGGAGTTCATAAAAACAACTGAAAAGTTGGTGCATAGCTACCACTTTTTTGGGTGATATACAATACACTATTTTTTTATATATAAAGTCAAGCGCTCCAGCAACTTAATAAACAAAATAATGATGAACAATGAACAACCCTTTGGTTGTTAAGTAGTTTGTCATTAGAATATAGCAAATCTCTTTAATAAAAAGTACTTTTGACGCACTACAACAGACCAAATACCATCCCTTATAACACATTTGCATCACAGACGTATTTGTTCAAATGTGCCATTATATTATGTTTCAGTTTTGATGCAAACCAATGTATATGAATTAGAATACATGAATGTTTAATGAAATCTACAATGTTCCACTTTGTATCAAAATTTGATTCGGAATAAAATAGGTCCGTCTGCTGTAAGTATTGAAATTGCATGTAAATAAAACAAATAACTGAGTTATTCAGGTCAAGTAAAGTTGCACTATGATATTAGGTGAAATCACATTTTAAAGTTTTCTTGTTCATATACCCCCCCCCCCAAACCTGGTAGCTAAGGGACGATGTCAAAAGATCGATGTCAGATAAAAAACTTAATTCCTTTAGTTTTATTCAAACCCCCACCCCCCACTGAAACTTAATTGATAAACATTGGTCATGACGTCAGACTATATTCACCATTAAATACAAATGGATAATCGGACAATAGTATGGCATAACAGTTGGTTGTTGGGTGGGTGTAAAAAGACTTTACAAATGCATCTCATTTGACACACATTTTTACACTCTAACCAAACCATTTTCTCGTCTTGGATGTGTTTTTTTTCATTTTCTGTTATTTCTGTCCATGATTGGATAGAAAAAAATGAACTACAAATACTCCAAGATTTTTTTTTGACTTAAAAAATAAAATCGTTTTTGTAGGATGGAAACTTTTTGAGGTCAAAACCCATCGTCCCCAAACTAAAGCAAATAAGTTTTTTATCCGACATCGATCTTTTGACGTCGTCCCTAAACAACCTGAGAACCAAATATAATCCCAACAATATATTGCAAAATAACCAGACGAGGGCAGTATACGATGACCCCATTATGCAGTGTTATTAGAAGTAGTACGATAGTACAATTGGCTAGTACCGGTATCAATTGTCAATGCAGTTCATTAATATTAAACGTTGCTCAATACAGTTTTGCAAACATGGTGGGTTTGAAGTGAACCAGCAGGCATTGTCTTATGAGAATACATGTTATCACCACCCATGCACAAGGCAAATTACTTAAACTGCCATATCTTTTGTCACATAAGACTTCTTAGCAATAAACAATCTATTCGCAAAATACACAAGACTTTCATGAAACTGTATTGAGCCATGTTAAAGTGTTTGCTGTGGATCCCAGATGATATGTATGATACATATTACAATTTTTGTTGACATGAAATTTGAATGCATGCTGTGGTGTTTTGCTAATCACTCGTACACCAAAATAAGTCACTGATAGCATAGTGGTTATCGCATCAGACTCGTGATTGGTAGACCCAAGTTCAAATCCTACCTTAGGCTGAACATCAAAAGGGTCGACCCCTACCCTGGGTGAGTGTGCCACAGACTCGATGGGAAGGCCAATTCCACTGGTCGAGATTCATTCACTAACGAATGCGACTTTGGTTAAGGTCTGCAGGTGCTTGTGTTCGACCGAGCATTAAATTGCCATTTGATAGATGGCCACGCAGCCCTGTCATGTAGTTCCAAACATGAATATGCACTATGTGTCAGCACTTGCAATTTGCACTTTAAAAAAAAAAGTCAGCAGAGACAACAGATGCACAAAAACAATTTAAAAAGAAAAAAAAATACAAGTGTTGTCAACATTTATTGAAATGTGTATAGAATTACTTATGATGCCACCATATATTGCATATACAGGACGAAAAAGAAATACACTGCATATTTAAGAAACTTTTATTGAAACATTTTATTTTACAAAGCTAAAATTTACCAATCCATCAATGTTACTGATGCAACGAATATATATACATATCTTGTACATTCTTAATATACATTTATTGGTCTGGCTATATATATATATAGTAAAAAACTCCGTTGGTTCAACAAATTCAAATCAAAACTGCATGTGTCACATGATGTGTCGTTGTCAAGGCATGTCGTAGTATACCATTAATACAAAATTTTGAATCTGATCTGAAAAACATGTTCCCATTATGTTCCAAGATTAAACAATAGCTGCCCATGTGTGACTAAGGTCAGTATAGTTGATTTTGATGCGTTTTTAACATTAAAAGGGCCACCATTCGGTGAGATCAGGTTTCAGACGTTTCAAAATGCCCAATTGTGTGGCATTTCACAAACGATAATGCCAGCCATGATCTTTGATTGGATCACAAACTGACTGCATGTACAAAAGTTAAAATGTTTCTCTAGGCATGTCCAGAAGTGCTTTCTTCAAAAATACATAAGTTGGTCATTTTCAATTGAAATGTTACAGCAATTCTAGGCACTGATTTGACGCTGAAGTAGTGCTAGATATAGATAACATTCTACAATAGGTTACACACTTTGTTTTCACATTTACATAAGGTAACTAGAAATACAAGTCATTGTTAATGACACAGTCCCCGTCCCAAATTTTGTGATCTGACATATCAATTTGATGCTGATGAAGTCATTGAGATTAGATTGAAACCATTAATAGGAGATGGATTTGTAAAAAATTATGATTTAGTGCTTTTACACAAGAATTGGACATAGGGCAGTCATACAAAAAACAAGTGGCGTATACAACAGATTGTTTATTTACATCAAAACACATTTTCCGTGTAGTAGTAATATGGCCAAAAATAAAAACAGCCGTTATTTGGCCATCTTTGATCTGATTATGAAACGCACTGATATGTATGATGTATGTGCCAAATACAAATGAAAATGGTACATAAATTGTGGAAATATAGTAGTAAGGCCAAAAAGTCAGATTGCTGTCAATCGGTCATCCTTGACTAGATTTTGAAACAAATTGTCATAGACATGCATCCTAACATGTATAAAGTATGTGCCAAATTTGAATGAAAACTGACAGAGCACTTCCAAGATACCGCATAAAAAACAAAAAAAACAAGATGCCTGCCAGTCGACTATCATTGATCCAATTGCGAAATAAATTGTACTGGACATGTAACCTAACATGTATAATCTATGTACCAAGTTTGAATGACAACTGACAAAGCATGTCCAAAATACAACATTTTCAAAAAACAAGATAGCTGCCAGTTGGCCATTTTGAATCGAATCGCTAAACCACTGCATGTGCATATGTCCCACATAAGGTACTAGGCACATGCAAAGAATGAACAGAATCGGTCCACAGGATTCTGAAATATTACTATTGACAGACTGACGCACGAACGGACGGATGGACAGACTCAGGAACTCATGGATGGTCGGGGACATGTATCCTAACATGTATGATCGATGTACTAAATTTGAATGAAAACTGACGAAGCATGTCCAAAAATACAACATTTTCAAAAAAACAAGATGGCTGCCAGTCAGCCATTTTAAATCGAATCGCTAAACCACTGCATGTGCATATGTCCCAGATAAAGTACTTGGCACATGCAAAGAATGAACGGAATCAGTTCAAGGGATTCTGAGATATGACTCCGGACGGACGCACGGACGGAGACCGAATTATAAGTCCCCGTTTTCGGACTTCGTCCGAACGGGGACTAATAAACATCGGATGCAAATCAAAGAAATGATTGAGAGATATTGCCCACAATGTTTTCTATTTTTGCTACAAAGTCAGGTACACCTCGACTTTTAGTCGCTTTTAGTCAGTCATCGTGTAGATTGCATGTCTACAAATTGGCATTTAACCAAGTTGTTTAAGCACTACGATGGAGAAGCAAGGAAGGAGTCGAAAAACCAGTTGAAGTGAGAACAAGATTTGTCAATTTGCATTTTCGTGGACTTATTTGTTGAGATTGGAGATCGAAGTGGTGTTTCAAAGCAGACAACTTATAATATCCTGCCAGGAAAGCGTAAGAGCGACCAATCAGCGACTAAAAAACTGACAACATTATAGACTGTGTCGAATATTATAAAACGTTGGGACCAAGCATTTACAAACAGAAAATTTGACAAAACTACTCGAAGACTGTGTATGTACTGTGGCATCACTTAATGCACCTCTCTCACTGAAATAACATGTGACGCAAATTCAAGTAGGAAACTAAGGAGGAGGAGAAATTGAAAACTAATGTATGGGTGAAGCTTCCTTCTGGCGTGCTTCAAATTACAGACATGTTGTCTGCATTATTTGTAACAACTTCTGTAAATGTGAATGTGTATGTTATCAACATCTAACACTACTTTGTTATCAAATCAGTGCCTGGAATTGCTGTAAAAGAAAGAATGTGATGTACATCAGTAACCCTGCATGTCAACCATTCGACCAAATCTGAAGACGACTGTGTCTGAAAAAAGTTTAATTTAGTTATAACATTTCCATCATGTCTATTAGTATATTGTGACAACTATTTTAAGAACAACATAATCCACAAAAATAACAATAAAGACCTTTAAACTAGTTTAACATTGGAAAACATCACATAATTTTGTATAGGAGATATGTTTTATGTAAACTTAATTTCTGATTAGTTTGTTAGCTTTAATGGTTTTGCTATGCATATTTAATGTTAGTAAACCTTGCATACTAAGGCATGATTACTAAACTTTATTTTTGTTAACACTTCATTTCATACATGTTTAGTTAGCTTCGGTTGTTTCACTATGCATAATTAGTAACTGCAATATGAAGAATAATAAATCTCACATTGTTTGTGATTAGAAAAGTACAATATTTGTTAATATGTAAACATTAATACTTGATTTCATATTATGGAAGATTTGTCAGTTTCACTCTTTTGTTATGCGTCGGTAGTAAACCCCACACTTTTTTTAAAATTTGGAAAACGCACATTGTGAACCTTGGATTGTTATTCATATACAAATTCAAAGAAACAACTTTTACTTCAGTCTAGACATGTAACATGTGGTAATACTATATATGCTAATTACTGAATTTAGCAGCAAAAAAAAAACGTGATTATATCACTAGGAACACGTATACGCATGTCAATATCAGCAAGAATCGGCTTCTAATTTTCCAATATGATTGGATTAATTTATGTAAGCAAAAATTTATAAACCATTTTCTCAGTAGGAAGTGCATAAGATTTCTAATACTAAACAAAACAGATCAGTGTTAGTACAGCTACACATCTACTGTACTGAGGATGCGCTTTGAGAGAACAAATATGGTATCGGCTACAAACACTGCTCTTGATTAACATATCGCGTAAACCGTTTTATTTTCACTGCTATCAATAAGCTATTTTGAGAATAGCATCACATTCTGCCAAACTGTCCTATCATAAACAGTTTAGGTGCATTTTTCAGGGCAAAATGTTTTAAACTTTGCTTGTGCAACTTTGCGCTAAAAAGTACCCATAATTTTTGACGATAGAACATTTCGGCTGACTTTGACACTATCGTTAAAAGTGACACAAATAAGTTGGAGACAAAATTTAATGATTCAATGGTGTTCATGACAAAATTTGGCAGTTCCCTGACTCACAAAATTTAAGAATGTGTCTCATAAAAAATGAAGCAGTTTACAACAACAGTATCTTCACAAAGAACAATATTCACCATTCATGATTCATTTAACAATACTAATGTGTGCAGAAAACTAAAACCAAAAAAATGGTAGATTTGTGTTTCATTGAAAATTGGTGAACCTGCATGGATTTCATTCTTTAAAAACTCCCAAATTGTGACTAGTGATGGCAGTCACAGGTTAAAAGGCACAATACTGGCTGTGTGAAATTACATCAGTTTTCTGCATTAAAAATTCAAAGTATTTGAATAGGTAGCATTCAGAAAATAAAATCGGTGACACAGGAAATCTTTATTATGAAAGTTTGGTCCCAGACTCTCAAATGGCGCCATATTTATGAGAAGTGGCCAGCGGTGATGGACGTTGTTTCTTCACCCAAGCATAAAACATAAATGCGATACCCACACAAAGAATGATCCCGAAGATCACCATAAGCGCTATGAAAACACCGGTTGATAGTGTCGCACTCTTTGATTGTTCTGATGGAATAAGATTTGTAGCGTTAATCATGAACCCCAGAGACCATCCTAGATCTGAACCACTGACCTAAGAATATATAAAGAAACAGAACTTTTAGTTATTATACCTTTGAGAATGTTTTCATTTTCAATGATACAACTGTGAAAAATACTTTATTTTCACTTGGAATTTATTAGTTCTATTTTTTTAGCTGAAACGATGATTCAGTGAAAATAAAATCCAGTGAGTACCGTATATCTTTTTTTCTATGTTTTTCTTTCAACTTTAACTGATCAAAAATCAGTGAAAATAAATTCCATACAAAACAACCGAAAATTCTTAATTAATTCCATGTAAAATAAAGTATTTCACAGCAACTCTCTACAGCATCAACCCAATGCAGTAATGCATCGTCTCATTCACTGTATTTCAATTTCAACAACTGTAGTGCATTCTATCATGCACCATAAACTATTGCACTGCAGGATAGCAAAATATAGGAAATAATTTAGTTTGACAAAGTATCATACAGACATCAGAGGTTTTTCTAGAAAAAAACTGCAAGAGGGAGCACTTTAATTCAGCGGCGCCACCAAGTCGGGGGAGATACGGTTCTCCCTACCAGGGTGTGGAGTTTTTGATAATTCTAAGTTAAAATGGAGCATTCTATGGCTTCCTTGGGACCAAAATGACTACCGGTATCAGACAGGTCACAATTGAAGACTGTGGCCACATGTGATCCCTGGTCAATCAGAATTTTATGGTTGCCAGAGAATCTGCTCACCAGGGTAAGGGGACACGTGGCCATGGCATGAGGGCGCTGCGCCCCTGTTCCCTTGTTTAAAAAAATCCCTGGACATGATAGATTATGTTCCTATAATTCACTATCATACAGATCAGTTGAATGAAGGTTCCTATTCTATAATCTTTTTTTTCCCGTTTGTGCAAGGCTTCATATCATAGTTCCTATAACGCTATCATGCAACACGATACATATTATCTCGCATGTATCATAACCTTAGTTAAACATGCTAAAAATAACCCATTATACCTCCTTCGCAGACAGTGACAGCTGCTCCTGAAAAGATGACGATATATTTTTTCTCAACATTATTAATACGCAATTGAAATTATTCGTTGAAGTTAGTCGATCAAAAATATTATTATTATATGAACACCAATTAATGTGACCAGCACACAAATTACATTGGCGTATTTTAATTTTAGTCTGAGCGACAAAGAAGAACTAAATTTTATTTGTTTCTGCTGTTAGCGAATACTTGTTTATTTATTCAAATTCACTGATCTGGAATGAGAAATCTTCATGACATCAATTCTTCAAAAAATTCAATGCAATTGTATAATTATAAAGTCAATGCAAGGATACAGCAAAGTATGCACTCAGGCAAGTACACGGTCACATCAACCTCAGCTACGTGTTGGGCGATACTCCCGTCGTACTGTTTTTTTGCATACTTTGTGGTATCCTCTTTATAGGTAGAAGCCTACTCATAAATTAAAAAAAACAGAATTTATTCATTTTGCAATAAACTGTACTCAATATAAGGATATTAGCCTAAAAAAAGTTGGGGATCACCAGCCTTTTTTTCGAGAAATGAATGGTTGTATTTTAGTGGAAAGTCGCCATTTTGACACTATTATAACATTTTACCACAGGTTTCTATGGCAGAGATATTATGCAATATCTCAAAATCTAGCCAGATGACATAGGTTGACAAAATCATATATTGTTAATGATGGAGTACTTTTTGTTGTTCTGAATTATTTAAAAAATCTAGGTTTTAAAAAGTGTCAAAAAATGCAATTTTTCTTTAACATTGTGTTCTATGGAATTGTTCTAAAAATAGCAATTTTCAAAAAGATTAACACACAAAATAATGCTATTTCATTGTACCATGAGACATTAGCTTCATGATTGTACATAATAAACTAATGAACATTGTCATGTGATTTATGACCAATTTTATCAAAAAATTACGACTAGGCTTCTACCTTAATAACTTTATAATATTATTACAGTCTTATGATAATCTGAACTTGAGTAATCGCCGACAACATACTATATAGAAGAATTACTGATAGGAGCAGAGGCAAAACATTTGGATAATCAGAAATCTGGATTATTGACATGTTGCTAGGTGACACTACTTCCCTGTGTCTCGCACCATCCTCCAAATAAGAGAGCTTATGTTGAGGGAATATGTTATGTTTGTAGTATTATTTACATAACAGAAAAAAAGAACTTACTGAATTTCTGAATTGAAACTTCCAGGTTTCTGGAGTAAATTTATAGCCATCGACTAAAAATCCAAAGATAAACTGAGCTTGAAAACAAAAAGCTGGAAGTAGACTCCTGTCTGTGGACGGCATGACTTTAACCTGTAAAGAAATCAATATTTTGCCTTATGAGTTGGTATAATACTTAGACCTAGACTTTCTTAGAGGCCTTAGAACCAATTAACAGTTTTGTACCAAATTTTTATCAAGACGCAATTTAAACAAATGGCCCATATTTTATTATATCAATATTATACTATATCAATCATTTTAGATTATTCTCTCAAATGTAAATTAGCATCTAGTGGCAATATTATTTATTTGTTTGTGATTCCCCTCATTCTTGTTACTGTAAAATTCTTTATTTTAGCTGAAATAAATTTTTGCGGAAAAGACTTTTTGTGTTTTATTTTCACTGATTTTTGACAAGTTGAATATAAAATATAGGAAAAAAGATATATTTGCTGGATTTTATTTTCACTGAATCATCCCTTCAGCGAATTGAGCAAAATTCAATTCCAAGCGAATTAATTAAAAGTATTTTAAAGTACTGTAAAATCTGTACTGGAAGCTGAGAACCAAGAATCCACCATTTCTCATATGTGTAGACGCTTTAAGCATCATCCCCTCTGTTGCATTGTACCATTTTAATACAAGTTGCAGCTTCTAATACAGGTTTTACAGTACTTACAAGCAAAGTGAAAATACATTGTCTTGTTAATAAGAATTTATTTAAAGGGGAACCGCTCAATCCCAGGGATTGCACCAAAGAATCATGGGACACTATTGTTTATGTTGTTTACAATGTTACCGGTAATCTATCTTTTGTTATCCATTGTTATTTTAATCCAGAAAGAAAATTTATTGTGAGATTAGGCTTAACTGGAAGGTGCCCCTTTAACAGTAAGGAAATACCAAAGCATTCTTATGGTTCAACAAAATAGGAAAACAATTTATATACATACAACATGTATAAGGAAAGTACTGTAAAGGGGTTAATTATTCACTGGGTTTTAATTTAGCTTATTTCGCTGACTGGAATATGCGCTAAATTAAAACCCAGTGAATATGTAAAATTTAGCATAGAACACATTATCTAAATGACGAAACCGTGAATTTAAAACCCACTGAATATGCCTGAAATAGTAAATCAGTGAAATTTAAACCCAGTGAAAATTAGTCATTTTACAGTAACTATGTTAAATTGGAATGCAAAATATGTTGTATTACTAGAAAATAAACAGGATTAGTTGTAACACAGAATACTGGAATTAATTTTCACTGAAATGACAATTTGGGTGTTTTGTAAGGAATTTATTTTCACCAACTTTTGACAAGTTGAATGTAAAATATAGGAAAAAAGGTACATTAACTGGATTTTATTTTCACTGAATAATTCCTTCAGCGAAAATTATTCTAGTAATTATCACTTTCACAAAAGAATTTTGTTAGCTTCATGCAATCACCAAAACTCAACTGTGAATCTAGATTCAAATCCCAGTGATACATAATTATATTTGATAACCATTCAAGTAAATGACATCAACTGACAGAATACTGTAAAGGGGGTAATTATTCACTGGGTTTTAATTTAGTTATTTCGCTGACTGGAAAAGGCGCATAGAACACATTATCTAAATGACAAAACCCACTGAATATGCCTGAAATGGTAAATCAGTGAAATTTAATTCCAGTGAAAATTAGTCATTTTACAGTATTTGTTAATTTTAGTATAACCTCCTGCAACAAGAAGCCGCATCCCTAATAGAAGTTGCACCCATTCTTTTTGAACAATTGAGAACCCAAAATTCATCATTTCGCATATGTAAAGGTACTTTAATAGAAGCCACATACCCTCCATTGCATTGTACCATTTTAGTAGAAGCCGCATTTTCTAATACAGATTTTACAGTAGAAAACATTGGCTGAGCAATGTTTTATGTTTAACGATTACAGTTCTTACCTCATCCCATGTTAAATTACAGAATGCCAGCATAGTATTGTTGAATTCAGCCATACTTGCATTAGTGCTTATATTCAGGTTATTGGTGGTGTAATAAAAAGTACTGAATGCCTGCAATGGAATTAATACATGAGATAAATAGGAATTCAAAATTGTAATCCTGTAATATCAGATTTATTATAAAACATGCTATTTGAGAACCATATTGTCAAATTATATCTATCCTGAGATATGGGACTGCTGTTTAGTCCTTTGGTTCAAAATATGGAACTGTCGAGTGAGTTGGAGTGGTGGGGGTGTGGTGGTAGTTTTCTTCTTTTGAAAATGGTTTCACCCATCTAGATATTCGTTTTAATTAAATGGGTGTCTAAACTATAAATGGGTGACTAAATCTAACAATATGCCCAAAATTTAGAATATACAATTGTATTTTTTGATATTACCAGTAAATAAAGGCCAAAATGATCATAGCACATGTATCCAAACAACTAGTAATAAACCTATTAAATATGTATAAAAAAACAAGCATCCAAAGTTACAAATACATGTACACAGAACTTGTCCAGGTTGATCATTCAAAACATAGAAATGGAGATCAAAAACTAACAAAGTATGTCAAGAAGTCGGCTAGGCTTCAGTTCTAAAGGCAACACAACCATATTACAGGTGAGAAAAACTAAAACCATGTGCTTCTTAAAAACTGCATTTACATACTTTTGAAATCAATAAACTTATCATGCAATAATGGGCGTATTCAGCATAGTACAAAAATTGTAGCGTTAAATAAACAAGCAGCCTGTCGGCTGAGACAGCTCCTCTGTTAGCAATGCACATTTCAATTAAAGAACATAAGTTTTCATTAGAAAATGAACAATATGCATAGTATCAATGCAATGGGACTTGCTGTTTTCAATAAGAATTCAAAAATATCACTTTTCACCAAAAATGACAAAAATATTCATCAAAATTGGAGAATTGGATATCATCATACAAATGAACAAATTTGAAAGAGGTCCACATGTAGTACCTATATATGTAATATCAAAGCAATTGGACTTGCCGTTTTTAACAACAAGTCGAAAATATCACTTTTTACCATAAATGACAAAAATATTCACCAAAATTAGAGAATTGAAGATATCATCATACAAATGAACAAATCTGAGAGAGATCCACATAAAGTACCTATGTATGTAATATCAAAGCAATTGGAGTTGCGATTTTTAACAAGAAGTCGAAAATATCACTTTTTACCAAAAATGACAAAAATATTCACCAAAATTAGAGAATTAAAGATATCATTACAAAATGAACAAATCTGAGAGAGATCCA